CGAGTAATGTTCTTTCTGCAAAACAAATATTTACTGTACTAAAATTCAGCCACTGATTTTTCTGTCAAACTCATGAATGGCAATCCAAACAATATTTTCATTATAGTGTATGAAGTGATTTCAATATTGTCATTTCATACAATCATGTCACTGTCTATAGTGCAGCAAATAAATGATTTGATCCCGATTTTTTTTTTTAATGGTTTTTCTTTTTACTAAGAAATGAACAGACCATACATGGTTTGGTGGTTTCATTTTAATAGAAAGACAAAATTTCAACTCACAATCCAGAAACAATCAATAACATACAAGATAAATACATAATAAGTTGCATGTTATCAAGTATCTGAACCATTACAACCCAGCTTCATGTAAGAGCTTGCCTCATTTGGTATGGATGATGATGAGAAAGGTTAAGAATCAACTCAGTTGCCAAAAACAGTTCAGCTAACACAATAAGCCATAATGGACTGAGATCTGACAGTACCCTCAGGGTCCGTCTGCTCAGAAAAGTACATTTAGATTCTCATCTTGTCTGCCAGTGAGCAGGTTGAAGGTTCAGAAAAGGCTTGGATCAGATGGGACCCAAATCAAACTTTTTACCATCAACTCTACCCGCTGTTCAGAGGAAGAAAAATCTGAGTATGACCAAACAAACACCATGCTTACAGTGAAGCATGGAGGTGTAGACATTATGTTTTGGAGCTGTTTTTCTGCAAGGGGCAAATGATGATATTAGAGGAAAAACCTCCTTACCTCAGCCAAAACACAGTGGATAGGTTTCCTATCATGGCGATGGTCTTAAACATACAGCCAAGCAGCATGTAAGCCAAAAAGAGAGAAACTGGGTGTGCACCGTGTTAGCGGGGGGGTGACATGCTTTCTCAGGGGGAAAAACAAGAGAAAGTTTGGGTCCAACTGGAGATTTTTATTCACATGTCTCTTAACGTGTCCTTTATTTTATTTTATTTTTCTAGATGGCCTCCCTTCTCCCCTTACAGCCATCCTCTCCACAACATTATTATGAAATATTTATTCTAGTGATTATCTAGTGTAGGATTATTTTTTTTAATAGGATAGAAAGAAAGAAAAGACAAAGTAAGACTCCAAAATATAAGAAATATACACAAAGAGAGCACACGTCAAAACACCCGGCCACTGTCTGTTCACCTGCAAAAAACATGACAAAACACAGCAACAAAATACATATGTATGAAGAACTTAAAATATTCATGGCTTTGCAGTAAGTTTCCATAAATATATATACCCATACCTACGCCAATATACATACATACATACATACACATGAATATACACTCACATACATATCTATATATCTACATATAAAGCCTACATAAGCATCCCTGCTTCTATTTGTGTGTGGTTGTGAGCATGCATAAGTGTATAAGGCTTCTCTAATAGAACATTTAATAGTAACTGTGAAGCAGCAGAGACCCGACCCCCAAGACCAGAGGCAGACGAAAAAGGGGGGACCAGAGCCCAAGACCCCAGGAGGGACCCCGACCGCGGAGACCCCAGGGCCACCCACACAGGAAGAACCACTCACCCACCCCCCAGAACGGACCACAGGGGAGAGCCGGAAGATCCCCACCAGCGACCACATACAGTGACCCCCCGGGGCCAACAGCGACAAACTCATAGGCCCCCGCCAGAACCCGCCGCACCGATGTAGGTCCAGGTCTGGGCACCGAGGCCCGGGCACCAAGAACCCACACCACCCAGGCCAAGGCCTGACAGGGCCAGAGGACCAGAGCCCCACCAGGCAGACACCAGGCCGAGCCGACACACGCCCAAGCGCCCAGCCCCCGACACCAAGGGCCCCAAGCGCGCCGGCAGGCAAGGGCACACCCACCAGGGGGCCACGCAATAGGGGCGCGATGCCAAGCACCCCCAGTTGTATCAAAGAGGGGGCAGTCCGAGTCTCGGCCTAACAAATACCCATTCATACACAGACACAATCACACAATCCCAACCTCATTCTCACACCCACTTACTCAAAGACATACAATAACGATACATTTCATTCTTATTCCCGATACGCACTCTATACCCCCCAGGTCCAAGACATGTACCCGCCCTCTACAGGGGGCAGCCCATGCCCAAACACAGGAGGTAAACCTATTCATTCTCGAGCGGAGAAGAGCCAATATCCCAGACCCGGCCCAGGCCACGCCCAGCCGACAGGAAACCCCCCACCATGAAGAGGACACGCCACCGACCACCCCCACACACCGCCAACAACCAAGCACGCGCCCCCAGCCGACCGCCTGCCAGGCCCCGGCAGCCACCCCGGCCAGCGGGCCAACCATGGCACCCAAGAGCCAAGCTCAGGGGGTCCAAACAACCCCAGGGAGAGCACAGCGCCAGCACCGCCCACGGCAACCCCCCAGACCCCGAACCCCCACATAGTCCTGGTCAACACCCGACGGCCTGCCCTTCTCCCGGACCCCACCCCCAGAATGGCAGTCAGGGAAATAGGGGGGGAGGAAAAAAATAAAATAAAAAAAATAAGACCCCGACACATACACCCCCGCCCCTAGATGTGCTGTTGATGTGTGTTGTTGTATAGTGCCATTAAAAAGGAAAGAAGAAGGAGCAAAGGCTGGCATGATGCCAGTTTCCCCTCCACCCCAACTCTATCCAAACCCTAGTGTCTAAATGCAACCGTTGTAAGTGAGCACAGGCACAGGGGGTGAGAGTAAGGTCATCCCACCACACACAGCCATGTGCCCACCTCAAGTTCCTATATGTGAATGTCATGAGGATGTTATGAATGAATGTCTAAGGTGTACAATAAAATTGAGTCCCAGGTGGCTATGGTCAACAAAGATGTAAAATTGTTGCAGCACACCTGAGTCCAAACAACCCTAAATGTATGGAATTGAAACGAAGAGGGTGGAGGTGCATGGTGAGGGATGGGGAGAAATAACTGTGAGAGCAAATGCTCCCACAGGGAGTCAGCTCCCCCACTGACCCAACAGCCCCCCCCCCCCCCCCCAGCTCCCTAAGGTCCACCCAGGGATTGAGGCCAAGACACCTCTCCATCTGGACCGACCGCCAGGCCCGCTGAGCTCCAGACCAGAGAGGGACAGAGCCCCGAGGGCCGCCAGAAGCAGTACCAGCAGCCTACACACCCGAGGGCCGCCAGGACCCCCACAAACCGCAGTCAGCCCGCTACCATCCATCCATTATCTTTACCTGTTTATTCCATTTTGGGTCACGGGGGTCGCTGGTGCCCATGTCCAGCAATCACTGTGCGAGGGGCGGGGTACACCCTGGACAGGTCGCAAGTCCATCCAGCCCGCTACCAGATGAAGCCAAACCCCACCAGGACGACCCGGCCAAGAGCGCCCGCCCAACCGCCGACAGTGCCAGGAAGCACCGGGAGCGAGCCCCCACCACAGGAAAGGGGCCAGCCAGCCGGCCATGCACAGTCCCGGGCCACCCCCAAGGACATCCACCCCATCCCCACCCCAGAAGAAATACTACACCCACCCCTCATTCGGACATCTCTCAAAACACATAGCACACTAGACACCTAGGCTGGGTCAAACTACCCCCTCTTAGGGGCCACTGGTCACGCCCCCAAACACCCAATCCCCCAGCCCATGAACCCACAACCCACCAGCGAGCCGAAGGCCCCCGCCCAGAACCGGGCACCAGAGCGCAAGCCGGCCAAGAGCCCGGCAACCCGCCCGCCAGAGCCCAAGATCCCCGATCCCCACTGGCCCAAGCCCGGGGGCGACAAGCCCCCAGAACCCCAAGCCCCAGCGCCCACCCCGAACCCACACCAGCACAGCCAGGCTACCAGATCGGTGACCCACGACCACCGCCACAAACCACCTACACCTCCATGCTTACAGTGAAGCATGGAGGTGTAGACATTATGCTTTGGAGCTGTTTTTCTGCAAGGGGCAAATGATGATATTAGAGGAAAAACCTCCTTACCTCAGCCAAAACACAGTGGATAGGTTTCCTATCATGGCGATGGTCTTAAACATACAGCCAAGCAGCATGTAAGCCAAAAATTGAGAAACTGGGTGTGCACCGTGTTAGCGGGGGGTGACATGCTTTCTCAGGGGGAAAAACAAGAGAAATTTGGGTCCAACTGGAGATTTTTATTCACATGTCTCTTAATGTGTCCTTTATTACCCACTTGAATAGAAACAAGAGCAACTGTTTTTTATTTGTTGAAACATGTATTATTAATAAATATCTATTAGATTAGATTAGATTGATCTATTAATCATTAAATGTGGGGACAATGAGAGGAAAAGGTAGAGAGCTCTCTGACATGATGCTGACAAGGAAGGTAGATGTTTGATGTGTCCAAGAGACCAAGTGGAAGGGCAGCAAGGCTCGCAGCTTTGGAGCAGGGTTCAAACTGTTTTACCATGGTGTGGATAGAAAGAGGAATGGAGTAGGGGTGGTCCGGAAGGAGGAGTTGACAAAGAATGTACTAGAGGTGAAGAGAGTGTCAGATAGGGTGATGTGTCTGTAGGTAGAAGTAGTAGGTCTGATGCTAAATGTTGTCAGTGGTTATGCTCCACAGGTTGGAAATGATGTGGAGGAGAAAGATCTGGATGAAGTGATAGAGAGTATTCTCAGAGAGGAGAGAGTGGTGATGGGAGCAGACCTGAATGGACATGTTGGTGAAGGAAACAGAGGATGAGGAAGTGATGGGTAGGTTTGGTGTCAAGGAAAGAAACCAGGAAGGACAGATGGTGGTGGATTTTATGAAGAGAATGGAAATGGCTGTAGTCAATACTAGGGGTGTAACAATACATCAATTTAAATTGCTATACCGATTAAATGATGAATGATTCAATTATATTGTGGCAAAATTAAAAAATTGATTCATATCATCAGCTTTAAAATACGCTTTTATTTTAAAATTCCCAAGGCACGTCCGTCACCATTTCTGTGCGCGGCTGTGCTTTGCGGCCACCTCAGCAGCATGGCAGACGAGGCAGAAAACAATGAAATTCACTCTCCTGCTGGATTTAAATCAACACAGTGGAAATATTTTGGATTCAGACAGAAGGACGGCTCAACAGATAAAACTCATGCCGTACGCAACAGGTGCCAGTGTGAGTTCAAATACTCAGGAAACAACAAATTTGGCCGTTCACCTGAAAAAGAAACACAGCATTGATAGCCATGTTATGTAAGCTCAATATCTATTTTTCTTTCTTTATAACTGAAAGGTCATCAGGTCACTTTTAGTTAACTGGTATAAAAAAATGCACTTAAACATGAGAAATGTGAGACTATACTGAACAGGTCATTTATCTTTATTTTTTCTTTAATAAAAAAAGTTTTGTTATTTAAATGCCTGGTGTCTGTAATAACAGAAATAAAATGGTTAATCATATTTTGTTTTTGTAAATTTATTTATATGTAAATGAAATGGGCATTTGACATTGCAATATAATGATCGCAGACTTGTGAATCGAATAGAATAAAAATCGAATTGTGACAGACATTGTGATAGAAAAATCGTATCGTCATACAAACAAATCAATATAATATTGTATCATGGTAAAGTTCATGATTTACACCCCTAATCAACACCTATTTCCAAAAGAGGGAGGAACATAGAGTGACCTATAAGAGTGGAGGAAGGAGTACGCAGGTCGACTACATTCTGTGTAGAAGAGGAAACCTGAGGGAGATTGGAGACTGTAAGGTTGTGGCAGGGGAGAGCGTGGCCAGACAGCATCGGATGGTTGTGTGTAGAATGACTGTTGTTGTGAAGAAGAGAAAAAGAGTCAAATCAGAGAAGAAGACCAAATGGTGGAAGATGAAGAAGGAAGAATGTTGTGAGAAATTCAGAGAGGACCTGTTAAAGGCTCTGGGTGGTAAGAAAGAGCTTCCAGATGACTGGACTACTACAGCAACAGTAATTAGAAAGACAGGTAGGAAGGTACTTGGTGTGTCATCTGGACAGAGAATGGATGATAAGGAAACCTGGTGGTGGAATAGTGAAGTGCAGGAAGCTGTTCAAAGAAAGAGATTAACCAAGAAGAAATATGACGGTGAGAGGACTGAAGAGAGGAGACAGGAATATAAGGAGATGGGACGTAGAGCAAAGAGGGAAGTAGCTAAGGCAAAGCAAAGGGCGTACAATGAGTTGTATGGGAGACTGGACACTAAAGAGAGCGTGAAGGACTTGTACCGATTGGCAAGACAGAGGGATCAGGCTGGAAAGGATGTGCAGCAGGTTAGGCTTATTAAAGATAGGAATGGTAATGTTCTAACAAGTGAGGAGAGTGTGGTGGGAAGATGGAAGGAGTACTTTGATGAGCTAATGAATGAAGAGAATGAAAGAGAAAGAAAAGTAGAGGTCATGGAAACTATGGACCAGAAAATTGGTAAAGATTAGCAACGGTGAAGTCCGGAAAGCTCTGAAAAGAATGAAGAAGGGGAAGGCCGTAGGACATGATGACATACCAGTGGAGGTTTGGAAATGTCTTGGAGAGATGGCAGTGAGGTTTTTGACTCAAATATTCAATGGCATATTTGAGTGTGAGAAAATGGATGAGGAATGGAGAAGAAGTGTGCTGGTGCCCATTTTTAAGAACAAGGGTGATGTACAGAGTTGGAGAAACTCCAGGGGAATTAAGTTAATGAGCCACACAATGAAGATCTGGGAGAGAGTTGTGGAAGCAAGACTTAGACGAGAGGTGACTATCTGTGAGCAGCAGTATGGTTTCATGCCAAGAAAGAGCAGCACAGATGCCATCTTTGCTTTGAGAATGCTTATGGAGAAGAACAGAGAGGGTCAGAAAGAACTCCATTGTGTCTTTGTGGATTTAGAAAAAGCATCTGACAGAGTGCCAAGGGAGGAGGTGTGGTATTGCATGAGAAAATCTGGAGTGGCCGAAAAGTATGTTAGACTGGTACAGGACATGTATGAGGACAGCAGGACAGTGGTGAGATGTGCTGTAGGAGTGACAGATAGCGTCAAGGTGGAGGTTGGAGTGCATCAAGGATCGGCTCCGAGTCCCTTCTTGTTTGCTCTGGTGATGGACCGACTAACAGATGAGGTCAGGCAAGAATCCCCATGGACGATGATGTTTGCAGATGATATTGTGATCAGTGGTGAGAACAGGGAACAAAAAAAAGAAAGACAACAGCGAAGAGGTGGAAGAGAACTTGGAGAAGTGGAGGTATGCACTTGAAAGAGGACGAATGAAAGTCAGCCGTAGTAAGACAGAGTACATGTGTGTGCATGAGAGGGAGGAGGTGGAACAGTGGGGCTACAAGGAGCAGAGGTCAAAGGTGCAAGACTTCAAGTACTTGGTGTCCACTGTCCAGGAAAATGGGGAATGTGGTAAAGAAGTGAAAAAGAGAGTCCAGGCAGGATGGAGTGAAAAATTTACATGACAGTTGTGAAAGCAGCTATGCTGTATGGTCTGGAGACAGTAGTACTGACAAAAAAGACAGGAGAAAGAACTGGATGTGGCAGAATTGAAGATGTTGAGGTTCTCCTTAGGGATCCATCCCTAAGGATGGATAAGATTAGGAATGAGATCAACAGAGACACAGCACAGGTTGAACAACTGGGAGATAAAGTTAAAGAGGCCAGACTGAGATGGTTTGGACATGTCAAGAGGAGGGATCGTGGGTATATTGGTAGAAGGATGTTAGAAATGCAGCTGCCAGGAAAAAGACACAGAGAAAGACCAAAGAGGAGATATATGGATGCAGTTAGAGAGGACATGGAGGTAGTTGGAGTGAGGACAGAGGATGCAGAGGACAGAGTGAGATGGAGGAGGATGATTTGCTGTGGCGACCCCTGAAGAGGGAAAAGCCAAAAGAAAAAGGTATTTAATCTTTTCAAAAAAATGAAACCACCATTAAAAAAAGTCCATTCATTTGTTTGTGAAATTAATGGACCCGTCTCTAATCTGTCAGGTTTAGGTTTGGTTTATTTGTCATATGCAAACACAGGTCAACAATGCAATGAAATGATGAGGACGAGAAGAACCGTCTCGACTGGCCAAAAAACAAACAAACAAACAAACAAACTAAAAAAAACAAACAAGAAATGCCAAAGTATACAGCAAAAATGTAAAAACAAGGTGCCAAACGTGAAAAAAAACAAAACATCTACAGTGTGGTTTGGTTAGCAGTGAGACGTGAGCAGTTAGAGGTTAGTGGCATTAGCAGGTCTTGTCAGCAGGTTCCGTTTGCAGCTTGATGGTAACAATGACCGCAGCAGCTACCCTCCCAGTCTGTCCTCCAGAACCGGGTCTGGCAGACAGAGACCATCTAAGGTTTCCCTGCAGAGCTGAACGAACCCGTAGATTTCGGTTCATGTAGGCAGATGGAGGATCATGGAGATGGCCGCCAGGACAGGCCAGAGCCTGAACCAAAGTCTGGCGGGGGGCCAGGAATTGAACCACGATGGCAGGATGGCACGATGACAAGGCAGCGACACAGAAAACTTCAAAAGAGTGTTGCGGTCATTGTTGGGGATATAAAGGTCATAGATGTTTTTCACTTGCTGATGTCAAATGTTATATAACCATGTATGTGAAGACGAGTATTTCTGTCTATTCAGAGGAGCCTGATAACTGAAAACTGATAGCTGATAAACTCTGATGCCTTCAAGGGCCTAAGCTGGAAAGCAGAGTTGTCTTGAGAGGTTGTCTTTACCTCGCCTGTCTGATAAGCATTATAAAAAGACCCTTCTTTATGCTCTTCTTAAGCAGACTTGGAGACAAAACGCCATGTAAATATCTTGATGCTTGTATTTCAACGCTGCTCCATCTTGCAAGATTAAACCCTGGGATGAGAAAATATCTTCTCCTTTCCTGTGTGGCTTATTTGTTTAATGAGCTGATGATAGGGTAATTAAATTATCCAACAGTCATACCCGTAGCGTGAGTGCACAGTGTAGGCGCAAAAAAAGATTAAAACAAAAACAGGAATAAAAAAGATTGAATGGAAGCGGAGCTCCCATCAGTGCTGCCATACTGCGACGCACGTGACGTCACCTGTCAGACTGGTTCTGTCTCTGACAGAGCTCGGCTGAGTTCTGCTGACCAACTTGTTGTACATGTTATGTTCAGAAATTAACACGTACTTTCAAAATAGCTTTTCAAGAAACAAAGAAATCAGTAGAGGGTTTCTGGGAACACTTACTTCTTGTACAGCACAGCATCAGGTTTTTTCAGAGAATACTGAAAAAGAAACAACATTTATAAATCAGATCACTTGATGACAAATCAGTTGTATCACTGTTCTGGCTGAAACCTTCCTCGTCGCTCAGATATTCTCTGTGAAAGCCGTTCCAGTGGCTTAGTGATGAAACTTCCAACCTCAAGGTTCAACTCGTTCTTATATTACTTCTTTTTATTCTTCCATTCCCACATGTCGTGGTGTCTCTGAGCAAGACACCTAATCCCTAATTGCTCCCTGGGCACTTACATAGCTGCCCACTGCTCCATCTGGGTGTATCCCAGGTGCAATGGGTTAAATACAAATAACTAATTTCACCATGATAACACATAGCACTTATACTTTTGTCTTTTTTTCATTTGATATGCTTTTTATAGGATTGTGTATTGTTGTATGTACCTCATCTATTGCCCCTTTACCACCGTCACGGTGCGGGTCGGATATTTCCGGCTTGAAGCGCGTTTGAGGTCTTTCCACTGTTCCTGTGACCGGCTCGCCTCCCTAAATTCTGGCCCGGCTTCTCAAGGGTTCCGAGCGAGCCGCGCCGTGACGTCAGAAACACTGTCGGTCACTGATTGGTCGGGGGGAGGAGTCTGTGGAGTCTTTCCAAACAACCCGATCCACCATTTTTTTCTCTACCGCTTGCCATTAGCGATAACACGAGCAGAGTATCTTTTAGTATTTTGAAGCTATACAACAACAATAACATCAAAGCCGTGGTCAAATGCAGAAGTGCAGGTGTTGTTGTGCTTGGTGGCCGACGAAAAAAGTCAAAGCGAGCTAGATGGAGGATTGGAGGGTGGTTTGGACACGACTACTGCTCTACTTGAACCATTTATAGAAGATGGTGAGTGTTTTCTAACTTTAAACATATTTTAAGTGACTCATCCCATCGGTTCTGAACATATTTTTAACTAACAAAAGAGGCTGACGCCATAATAGTACAACGTCGGTGCTACGATGCTAAGCTAGTTTGCATAAATGCTAACTGTCCTCCGGTCCCGTTTCTCACTGTATTTTATCCAGAACATATTTCAGCGCGTGACGGTTCGTCTCTAAACTCCACATTAAACCCTCCAAGCCTCCCGGCTCCTGCTCCATCAGAGGAGTCTGCACCTGACAGAGCTCCATCACAGCCCAGCTGCACCTCACAGAGCAGCACAACGCTGCAGCTTCTGTGCTCGGTAAGAACAGATGCAACATGTTCCACATCACTTTATTTGTGCCGATAAGGACTTGATTTATTTTATTTTTAAAGTAAAAAAATAAAATGTTGAATAAATACTGAACTGGGATGAAATTATGTACACAGGGTCCCAGTTACAGACAACAAAATGTAAAAGAAAAACAGTAATAAGATCTAAGATATGAATTAAGAAAAATATCAACTAAAAAACATCTACTAATAAAACACTAAGCACTAATAGCAGTAAACAACCAAAACAATACGTCAAACAGCATCATGAACTTGAGTTTGTGCAGCCTCATGAATATATAACACTGTGAAGAATCACATCATGTAGCTGCTGATCAGTTTCATGTTGCTGCTGATCAGTTTCATGTTGCTGC